TTTTGTTTATCGACTCATACTTTGTTTCCAAAAGTATTTCATAATAAAGAAAGACAAGATAACCATTATATAGCTTAGAGTAAAAGACCGTGTACTGTAAGCTAAGAAGATTGATCATAGTCGGATCAAATGAATACTCTCACTATTAAACCAACTAATTAAAAATATGAGCTACCAATAGTGTACACAGACAGAGATATTTTAATTTTAAGATATTTACAGTTTGTTATGTGTCCACACTACAAAATTTCATCAATACTTAGTCTTCTTTTTTCGTCATGGTTGAATGGAACACGACTATTTACATAAGAAAAAACAATATCACGCATATTAAAAAGCAAATTCTATGAAGTCTAAGACAACATTTTTTTAATTATGAGGGTAATAAACAAAAATTTTAATTGCTGTCAAATTGCTTTTGAGTGTGCGATATTGCTTCTCCTTATGTAAATAGTCGTGTTCCATCCAACCATGACGAAAAAAGAAAACTAAAGATTGATGAAATTTCGTAGTGTGGGCACATGATAAACTGTAAATATCTTAAAATTTCAACATCTCTGTCTGTGTACGCTATTGGCAGGTCATGTTTTAAACTAGTTGGTCAGTGAGTAAGAGCATTCATTTGATTCGACTATGAGCAATCTCCTTAATTTGCCTTGTATGGCCTTTAATTATTAGTTAATACAAAAATAACTAGCAAAAGACATCCAGTGTCGGATTCTTTTACGAAGCCCAAAACCCTGTTTACGAAAAATATCCGCAAACAAATCATATATATAAACAATGCAGATCAAAAAATCTTACGAAAAATGATAAAGGTTAGAGAACATAAATCCCATATTATTTTTTAAGTTTTTCTTTGTTCAAAATTCCTTCAATGAATGTTTTTGAGCTAAAATATGTTTACAAAATCGTTCAAAGAAAAAGTTAGCATTCATTCTTAAGTTCAACAACGCAAGAATTTACTGATATATTAGAGCACTCGTCAGTGGCTACAGAACTCAGAAACTACAAAAGATTAAGAAAGGAAAAAAGGTAGTGAAATACGAATCTATAATATTAATAAGTTATTCTCGTCATTAATTTCGCTAGTAAAGCCATCATCTAAAAACGTTTGAAATTCGGCAACAAATCAAAAGATCAAAAACAAAATCGGAAAAATGTTCAAATTTCAGAGATTTTCCTGACTTTTCAGAAGATCTAACAATCCTGATTTTAACTGTAAGTTTGGGTGAACATGAGTTCGGTTTTATTGGGAAAATACTAGCCAGGTAAAGGTAAAGAAAGATAGATCAAAGGGAAGAGAAATAAGAGCACAGATCAAGAGAACACACACGAACATATATATGTGTAGATATATATACATATAGAGTGACACATAGAAGAGAAAGGAAAACTCCAATGATATATGTGTGAAAACATAAAAGAAAACACCAAGATGTGAAATGAAGTAGTTCGTAGAGAAAATGTCCATATGTGCTGCACAGATACATATTTGAAGAGTCCTCAGCACTAACTTATGCATGTTCTTTTTTACGTTATTAGTACTTTGTTGGATCAAAAGAGTTTTGCCCTATCAATAAAAAACCTTGCCCATTTCGCCCATTGTTTGTTTTCGATACAAGGGAAGTTTGTCCATTGGTCTAAAAATCCTGGTTACGCCGCTGCTGTAAACAGACACGTTCTCCTCCTTCTCTGAAGTAGAACAGCAATGCAATGAAAGAAAAACAGCAGACAACATAATGAAGTGCGCGAACGGATCGATCAGTATGAACAGGAGACCTTCCCTCGTTCTCTTTTTTTTCGTTGAGTGTTAGTTACTCAATAGAATCGGCATGTGAGTAACTCATCGTTTAAATATACAAGCAAGAAAATTTCATTCCTCCTTTCTCTGACTTAGCCTGTTGTTACTTGATGATTCATCGAATTGTCGCTCAGATGAGATCATTCTTTTGCTGGCACTCCAAATCTGTGAGACACAAAAAAAGTCATTTTTTTCAAATCATTTTCTCCTGTTGTGATTATCCGCCAAACAATAGCATCAGTTGAAGACGACGATAGGGTGTAGGCGTGAGTGTGGGTATGGGTGTGGGTGTGGAATGCGAGTTAAGAGAAGAACAGCATTCACACCTGCGCCCATCCACACCCACACCCCCACACCAGATTTTTCCTCATCTTACAGATGTCAGACATGTTGCATATCAAAGGTTCCGAGTTTTTATATACAAGAAACACTATTTTAGGTCTCGGAGCCCAGAAGAAGCTTGCAATTAAATTGATCATGTTTAAAATGTACGGTTGCTGTACATTGAACTTACTCTACCCTGTAGTTTTACATTTCTACTTTATTTTACGTTACAGAGTAGGATAGGACATAGTTGATTTTCGTATCCTACTGCAAATTCCCTTACCCTACACTCTGTACTTGTAACACTTGACCATACTTCAAAAACCTATAAGGAGTACTAGAAAACCCTGACAAATGATTCCGGAGAAGAAAAAGCGCTTTGTAGATAACGCAGACTCGTTTTTCTTTTTGCGGAACCATTTTTCGGTGTTTCTATCATTGAGAAAAGCAAAAACTTTTTGAGCTTAAAACAACTTCGTAGTACTATTTATTTTTTCTAGAGTATCCTTATGCTACCTTAGTCGGGAGAAAAATAACGAAGTTCCACAGAATAACACCCGATAGTAGAACTTTTGTAGATTTTTGCATTTATCTGCGAAAGCTTTCTTAGATTCTACGCTTTACGCAGATCCTGAAAGAAAAGATTTTTGCAGAACTTTAAAAGTTCTACGATCAAGTACCATTCTGAAAAACTTCTTTTTTTTCCAGAGTATCCTACGCTCACCTTATACTTAGTCTATTCTACAGAATAAGAGAAAGTAGAATTATCTGCTCATATGTAAAGAGTATAAAGAATACAAACTTTCATAGAACCTAAATTTTTTTTTGTCCTATTTTCGTATACATGATTCACCAGGGAACCATTGCAATGAAAAGCAAGCTTTCAGGCGAAACTTTCGCTATAATGTTCAACCCATCAAATCTAGATAAATCCCAGAATGAGTCATCTACTTGAGTCTTTCCTTACGATTTATATCAGTTGATTAAAGTATTTGCAGATATCAAATACCTTTTTTGCTTTACATTGATATCTGCAAAAACTTTAATCAATTGATATAAATCACAAGGAAAGAGTCGAGTAGATGACTCATTCTTGGCTTTGTCTAGTTTCAGTGGGTTCAACATTATAGCAAAAGTTTCCCCTGAAAGCTTTCTATTCCTTGTAATGGCGAGAACACTTTCATAAAACAGTAGAATTCAGTATTCATTATTCTAGATGGGAACGACAGAGAACGCGTTGCAAAAAATAAAACTTAGCTTTTTTAAGAAAAAAAAGCGTTCTAGATAATGTGAAATGCGTTCTTACCGTCCCAATTTGAAACGCATCCTGTACCGTTTTTTTTGTCAGTATTTTTCACTGGGGATACAATAATTGGTGGCAGTGGTTGGCTGTAGAAAGGCCGACAGAAAAAATATTGTTGCAGAATTGTATCAAGGCAGAAAACCGTCAAATAATCCTATCAGAGACTGAATGGACCCGAACTTTCCTGATTCGAATTCGAATTGACTCTATTTTTAAAATAGTAGTTCGAGTTCAATTCAGTTCAACATTGTTTTTCAAAAAGTGGTTCGAATTCGATTCGGTTCGTTTTTGGTCTGTAGTGGAAACAACTCGAGAAAGAGTTTGATAATAAACCACGTATTTATCGAAAACATCACTTTTCTCGGTTCTCATTGGTTTCGACAATTTTACTCTTCGATAGTATTAGACGCATTTTACTTTTAGTCTTTCTAGAATGTGTCACGATGATGACTGACATCTTTCATAGCTTTTATGATATTAACCAACGAATCGGATTAGCTTATCGTTCGAATATTATTTTTTATTTTATCAAAAGGTTTGATTGATGGTTGATACCTTATTTTTGTTTGTTATTTTTTTGTCATCATCGAATAGGTTTATTTTTCTCTGATAAAAATGATTTAAAAACATTTCTGTTGTAATAAACTATCTTTGAAATAAGAATAATTTTTCTAATATTGAATATCGCACGACCTTGTTTATTATATGACGTCAGTTATATATGTCTTTTTTTTTCTTTGTTTTAATAGAAAAGTTCCGTGTGATTGATCATACATGACTATTTGCACAGATGTATGAAAAAACTAAGGAAGAGTAGAAGATGGGTCCAAGTCATAATCCTTTTTGGAATGATATTCTTGCTGGTTGTGTTAGTGGATTAACGTCTGTTATTGTTTCACATCCATTAGAAACTTTATCAATTCAAAGAAAAATCAATTCACCTGAAGTGTATCAAAATATATTTCATTCTTTTCAAGTCATTTATAAACATCAAGGTTTAATCGATGGTTTTTATCGTGGAAATTTAAATTTACCATTAATTAGCCCAGCTTTTCTAACATCTGCACAATTTGCTTTATATGGACAAATGACAAGACATTTTGTTAAAGATGATAATAATATTAAACAGTATATGTTATGTGGAGCTTTGACTGGTTTTCTATTATCATTTATTCAAACACCAATCAGTCTTATTTTAGGCCAAATTCATGGTAATTTAAATCGTCGACATACACATGTTTTTGATTTTCATATAAAAGATTGTTGTAAATATATTTATGAGAATAATAATGGATTAATTGGATTTTATAAAGGTTTTTCATCAAATTTAATTTGTTCAATAACAACATCAATGTTTTATTTTGGTGGTTATGAATATATAAAAAAGCATCTTTATCAAAGACATCATCGAAAATTTCAGAATCAAAATAAAAATAAAAATTTACGTTTAAATATTCTTTTAAGTGGAGCAATAGGTGGACTTTCTGCTTGGGCTATTTGTCATCCTTTAGATGTAATTAGATCGGAAATACAAACAGATGATTTAAGACCTGGACATCGGAAATATACTTCTTATTTTGATTGTATTAAACAAATGTATGAACAAGAAAATAGTATTAAAATATTTTATAAAGGATTTTTTTCTGGTATTATCAAATCTATTCCAATTAATGCAGCTTGTTTTCTTGCTTATGAAGAAGTCTACAGATTGTTAGAATAAATATATTTAGATTATCATTTTAATAAACAATCTTCTATCTTTTTAACCGATATTTATCCATGCAAACATCGAATATTCGAAAAACAAAAATAGATATGTCGCTTGCAGTGCAAGTTTGTGGGTGACCGTTTACTTCGTCGCACGACACTTCGTCGCGTTCATTTCGTTGCAATCATTTCGTCGCACGATCACTTCGTCGCATAACATTTTGTCGCGTTCTGTTCGTCGCAGAAAGACAATTCTTTCGTTCTGTTCGTCGCAGAAAAAAAAATTCTTTCGTTCTGTTCGTCACAGAGTAATTACTCTCGTTCGCTTCCTTTCTACTTGTTGTATCTCACTTAATTAATGAATTTTTTTTATACAACCAATTGAAATAAAATAAATGAAAAATTCTATGAAATATGTACAATTAAAATAGACAAACGATAATTCCAACAATAATAACTCTAATTGAGAAAGTGGATCAAAACGAATACTCATATATAATCGCAACGGGTCTAAAGTGAACGATGAATAATTAGATTTGTTACTCGGTTAATCAATTTTAACATAATCCAGGCTAAAGATAAATAATAAAATAATATTCTTAAATATGAAGCCAGAAAAAAAAAATATATTTCATTTTTCAATATCAACTCTCACTGCGAACTACTCTTTAATCAAAATGTCTCAAATCGAAAAACTTCTTTCTGTAAAAGGAAAACCAATGATTCATCACGAAGGTTACATTTACACTGTAGAACGTACAACATCGACGAAATTGATCTTTCGTTGTCAGAATCGAGATTGTAAAGGTAAGTTAACATTTACTATCAGTCAATTAAAACAAAAATTATTGATCTATTAAGCTCGATGTCATACCAATTTATCTATGGACGTATTTCTCTCAACCAACAGCCCACTGTCATGCTCCTCAACCTGATCGTGTGCCTGCTATTCAATTAAAAAATGAAATTAAAGCTCGTGCCGTAACAACAGATGAATCAACCAGCTCCATTATTCATTCTGCTTTGCGTAAATATCCGTTGAATGCTGCTGGTGAACTTCCAAAAAATGAAGCACTTATGTTAATGATTCGACGACAGCGTACTGTTGAAACAGTCGATGCCGACGGTTGTTTACCAGAAAAATTAAGAAAGACGTATCGCGGTGAAGATTTCATCTTGCACGAAGACAAAAATTTAATTATCTTTACAACAAAAACAAATTTATCGATTCTGAAGCAAAATAAACATTGGTTCGCTGATGGAACATTCAAAGTAAGCTATCAATTAAAAGTTTATATCTTTTTTTTCTAATTTTCTTTGACGTAGGTGTGTCCCGATGATTATTATCCATTATTTACGTTACACGCGATGATGACTAATGCAATTATCCCTCTCGTCTATGGATTATTAATTGGTAAAAGTGCTCAAGATTACAATTCATTCTTCGAAAAAGTATTAGTACAAGACAATTTTCAACCTGAATCAATTATGACTGATTTTGAAACTGGTACAATCAAATCCGTTAGAGAAAATGTTGCCAAACGTTTTACATAAAGGTATTTTGTAATATTGTCAAAAAACAAGTAATCAAAATGTTTGTTATAGGATGTTTCTTTCATTTTTCGCAAGCGATATAGCGGCAAGTTCAAGGAAAAGGATTGGTAACAAAATATAGAGAAGATGAATACTTTCGTTTAAATGTAAAAAAATTGATTGCTCTTGCCTTTGTTTCAGTAGATGAAATTACAACTGGCTTTGACTTAATTGCCAATCAATTTGACGATGACGCCGATGATTTACTTGATTATTTTGAAAAAACATGGATTGGCGAACCAAAAAGAAGAGGTAATTTTTTTTCTTCATTCTTAAGAAATACGAAATATAATCGACTTTCTTAGGAACTGGTCGAAAGAAGCCTCAATTTGATCACAAATTATGGAATATGCATGATCGTGTCGTCGCTGCTGTACCTCGTTCGAACAATTCGGTGGAAGGCTGGCACAATGCATTTGCGAACTGCGTCGCAATCAATCATCCAAATATCGTGAAATTGGCAGAGAGAATTCGTCGTGAACAATCGAAATTCGAAGTGGACATGGGGAAGATTCTCCAAGGTCATGATATTAAGATGAAGAAGGCCTGCTATCGACGACTGGACGAACGAATTACTCGGCTGGTCAAAGCATTTGACTCATCTCAACTGGATCAATTCTTAACAAATATGGCAGCCAACATTAGTTTTTACGTCATTTTTTTCTTAAAATTATTTTGTTTTCTTTAGGTTACTTTTTTCCTTTCTTTTTTTCTTTCTTTGTTCTCAATTTGTTCATCATTATGTTATGTATAATACACAAAATAAAGGTGAATTAATTGATCAATTTCACATCTTTGAAAAGAAAATTAATTAAGAGAGATGCGACGAATAGATAGTGACGAGGACAGCGAAAGAAATTTTTCTGCGACTGACAGAACGAAAGAATTTTTTCTGTGACGAACAGAACGAAAGAATTTTTTTTGTGACGAACAGAACGCGACAAAATGTTATGCGACGAAGTGATCGTGCGACGAAATGATTGCGACGAAGTGTCGTGCGACGCAATGTAATAGCGCCAAGTTTGTGTACTATGAGGTAAGAAGATTGATCATAATCAGAAGAAAGAATAGAGTGTGGATGTGGGGTGTGGATGGGTGGGGGTGTGGGTGTGGGTGGGTGTGGATGTAGGTGTGGGTAAGTGGGTGTGCGGTGTGCGTGTGGATATAGGTGTGGGTGCGTGGGTGTGGGTGTGCGTGTGGGTGTGCGTGTGGGTGTGCGTGTGGGTGCGCGTGTTAACCTTCTCATCACACTCACACCCACATCCTGTCTTCTTGAAAATTCGCCCGAGAAAGTCGAATTTTTTAAGGTGGTTGCAAGAGAAACATTAATATCAGATCCAATGTGAAAAAAAATCAGGTGCGTAACCAGAAGTTTTATAAGGGGAAGAACCATGGTTCCAAGGGGGACCATCATGGTAAAAAAAAATTTTTGCTTCACGAAAATTTAACTCTGTACCCCACAGGAAAATTTTTCTTGGAAGGGGACCGATCCTCTTTCCCCTTGGCTACGCCACTGAAAAAAATTTTGCTTCGCTCAAGCTTAGCTGCCTCAGGACCCATTACGCCCCCTCCCTCCCCCAATCATGGGCCCTTCGCGTGGGGCCTGTTTACATAAGATCATTTGTCTATTTAAAAAAATCATTTGAAAAATAAAGATTACAGGTGTCCGAATAATTTTTGGAGTTAGTATAGATACATTATAAAGGGTGTTCCATAAGTTCTGAAGCGATTTTAACATTCATTAAGAGTGAGGATGAAGATGGAAAGGAGATCATCATGTTCATTCTCACTTATCCATCCTCTAGATGTGCCTTGATTCTGAATATTATGTCTAATTTGGCTGAAAATAAACCTTTTCTGATGAACATTTCAAAATACGAGCTAATTTTATACTCTTTTGCCACTAATGTTCAAAAACTGAGTTTTTTAAACAATATTAAGATAGAATTAAAAAGATATCCACACTCAAACTCGGCACACAAAACTAGACATAAGCAAACTTATAATTTCTTGGTCCTAATGCTGCACATTCGCTAGTCTTTGGTCTAAATCTCTGTCTCATTTTCAAAGATTTTTTTGAAACATCGTCGTTCCAGTCAAATGTGCCGTAAAAGATTGTTTGAAATTCTCAGGAAGAAAATATGTCAGCTAGCTGCAACTGAGAATCGTTGGACTCGATGATTCAACCAGTCGGCGACATAAAGATTGTTATGTCGATCAAACGATAAGCCCTCAGGATAATTGAGCTGATTTTTGTTTTCTCCCGCACCATTTCCACCAGCAATCAAGTCTGACATTCCTTCACACCAACGCATTACGCGATGATTCCCATGGTCAACCACATAGATGCCAGATGAATCAACAAAAAGTCCAGCAGGTAAACATAACTGCGTTCGATCATCCCCTTTTCCTAGACCACCAGCCACGACAGTCCCTTCTTTCACATTCGACAACCATTTCATCACACGATGATTATTCGTATCCGATACGTACAACGAATAATATTGATCGACAAAGACAAATGTTGGATGATTAAGTTTATTGAAGGGGTCCTTTACCTTTTCCCCACCCGCCACCACTTCACAATCCTTCTCATCATAGTTTCCTTTCGGTTGATACCGTCTTACTTCGTGCTTCTTGGTATCTGTGACGTAGAGAAAATCTTTATTATCCATGGTCAATCCCCAACAGTTAATCAGACTAATAACAATTCTGCCTTCTTGTCCTTGTCGACGTGACCATCTTACTACTCGTTGGTTACCCGAGTCGCATATGAAAAGACTGCTTCTCGCTTTATCAATAATAAAATCTGATGGTTTATTTAACTGATTCAATTTATTTCCCGGTCCGTTTCCACCAGCTAGTACTTGACCCCTCGTTGCCCCAGGTTTCCATTCAACAATCCGATGATTATCAAAATCAGCGACAATGACGCTCCCATCCTCATCGACACAGACACTCGAACACTGGTTGAACTTGTTCTCTTGATGACCACGTCCGTGGCCTCCAGCCACTGTGTCTGCGCTTGGTGTCCATTTAACACGCGGAAGACTGTGCGTGCGATCTGCAATGAGGAAGAAAAAAGTGTAGGATAACGACTGAGTTTCTGATTAATTTCATATATTTTCTAGCTTTTGACATCTATTAATGGACAGAAAACTTTGTAGAACTACAAATTCTATATTAATTTTGTACTCCGATTAACTATTGGTCAGGCGTCGACATTACTTTTTACCCGTACACTTTATTCTGTCTTCTATGTTATATTTGCTGTGTTATCTTGTATGCCTATGAAAAATATATGCTATAAATATTAGGAAATACCAGAAAGTGTATGATAAACTACAACGCCAAACAATTGTTTGAATTTATTTTAATGACATAACGTCATACCAAAGTGAGTTGAAAAAATCCAAGAAATATACTATGACGAATTTTGACTTAATAGAATAGTCTAATGTATATTTCTTCACTGAAATAGTCTTCGACATCCGTAAAAAGTTTTTGGTTTGTGGAAAAATTCACTTCTTTGACCAATTTTCGGAAAACAAAACATACAAAGACTCAAAAAAACTCAGGCCAATGAGTAAAGAAAAGGCGGTGCCTTCCTACCGATAAGAAATCCTCTGTCGGACCGGACCAGCCGTTTACCGATCCTGTTTAAAACTCTGCTGGTGACGAATATCATATTTTTATTAAATTTTATCCGAGAAAGAAGTGAGTTGACATCACTTTTCTGGTGCGAATCATGATCGATCTACTGCATATAGGACACGCAGTGATTTTTGTGCGAATGTTCGTTCGGGTCGATATTTATCGTAGGTTTTTCATGGGAATACGTATTTTGTAGTCCGTTGATATTGAGCAAAATAGTTTTAACAATAACGGAGTCAATTATGGTAATCTAAACTGTGGGCGGAACAAAAAATAAGGCTGAAGATAACGATATAAGACTGGACATGACAGTGTGAGGATTCTTACATTCATACTCCATCATTTTTAACATTTGTATCGTTTTTGCTTGCGGTGTTTCTATTTTTCGACATCTTTAGTTTCGACACTGTTGTTTCGAAGAAAGTTTAGAGAATTGTCAGTTACTTATCATAGACCACTAATTGCTTCGTTATTTGTTTTTATAGAAAACTCATTCTTATTCTATTTGAAAACTCAGACCTCAATGCTCATATATGTGTTGAAGTACTATCATTTCAGTGTCGACTAACAGGCAGCTAAACCAATCAAGATAGATCACACTTTCCTATCATTATGAGGCACATTCACTCAGCTTGCGAAATCGCATGATTTTTGAATGAGATGTCAGGACATCTTTTCAGTCATTGTGCCGCACAAGAGATAGCCTTCCAATATAGGTTGCCATTCTTTTGTTAGGAGAGAATTTCATTCCTTGCACTATATATATCTGAAAGCGATGGCGATTTTTTGCCATAATGAAAATAAGCTTATCTGCACGACACTGAGCGATACATATTCTAAAAATAAAAATACTGGAGGCCTACGGATGAAAAGTAAAAATCATAGAGTCAAAGTACGAAAGATGCCATCCATAAGCGGAAACTGACCTACTCTTCGTAGGCCTGGCTTGCCCATGACACACTATGAACCTCTTCAGCCTCCCTGCCTGTCATTTGGTTCGATCTGTGTACGTTTTTAAACATACTAATAGTAGGATAATATTTGAGTGAAAGTAGAACACTGTCTTTATGACAGTAGAAGAAAGTTACGGATATAAAAAAACATGATTAGCAAAAGATTTGTTGATTTAATACAGTATGTAACTGTGTAGGAAAAACAAAAAAGAAAATATTAACATATAGAAAAAGTTCTTTTTGTGAGTAAAAAGCCTTTTGAATGAATTTGATGAGCTATCATCTGTTTAAAAAAATACTGATCGTCACCATTTTTTGCAATGACTAAAGAACGAAAAGCGACAGAGAGCTGCAGTTTTCACCAGCCAGAAGAAGAAACGTCGAGATGTCTTATTCTTCGATATCAATTAAGACGAGATCATTTTCAAATTAACTGTTTTTGTAAATGGGCAAAAAAATGCACAACAATTATCTGTTGTTGAGACGAAATTTTGACAAAATGTAATAAAACGTCCTTAAAATTAAGAGAAATCCATAGTTTTCAAGGACTCCAACAGATAATTTTATTGGCTTAATATTAAAATATCCGAAGATAACCATTCGAATTATACAGGGTGTCTCAAAAGTAAGGAAACAAAGTTTTTTTTCAGTTTTTTTCTTATAGAGCGTCAACTAGTTCTCATATTTATACCACAGATACTAGATGACATAAGTAAAAGATCTGGTACATGAACAATATCTGAATGTAGTAATTTGTTCAAAAGCATACAAATATAGGATAATCAATAATAAGGTAACATGCGTGAGTTCTAGCAAAACTTTTATGAAAGCAACAGAACAAAAAAATTACAGATAGCAAAGTATGTCTTTGTTAAGTCTGTGCAGTAAGAAGATTTTCACAAAAATTGCTCGATGTGTTCAACTTCTAGATCTTTGCAAAGTTGTAGCCTCTTAGGTACTGATTGACAAGCTTTTTGGCATAATTCCATTGGTAATCATCCCATCTCTGTAATAATAGCATCTTTGAGTGCTTGAAGATTTTGGGGTTTTGTTGCATACACACGGTCTTTTATCACACCCATACAAAGAAGTCGATCGGAGTCAAATCCGGTAATCGTGCTGGCCAGTCTATCGGTCCACGTCGACCAATCCATCGATCATGGAAGGTTTTGTCCAAGAAGCGTCGAACGAATTGTTGATAACGAGCTGGAGCTCCATCGTGCATATAAAATATTTCTTCTGAATTCATCTGATATTCAATCGCAGGAACAATTTTTTCATCAAGCATTTCCAGATAGCTGCGTCCAGTAACTGTATCACGAAAGAAGAACGGTCCAATAAGGCCTCCAGACCAAATTCCGGCCCATACAATAATGCCTGTGGCATTAATCTCCTGAGTAATGACAATATGAGGTTTTTCTGTAGCATAGTAAACGCAGTTATGTCGATTGACGTGTCCATTCAACTTGAAAGTAGCTTCATCAGTCCATACAGTTCGATCAGGGAACGAAGTGTCTTTAGCGACCAATTTCAGAAAGATATCAGCAAATTCGCAACGTCTGTCGGGATCATCTTCGTTTAGAGCATGCAGTAATTGAGGACGATAAGGCTTCAATCCCAGCTTCTTCATCATTCGTTGAAGACTACTTTTAGACAGATTTAAATCAGATAAAGCTCTTCGTAGTAATGTTGCAGGACTTTCTTTAAAAGCTGCACGAACACGTTCTTTATTTTCATCGGTACTGACAGATCTAGGTCTCCCAGATCTGGGTTCGTCTTCAACACTTCCGGTTTCATCAAATTTTCGTACGTGATTCAAAATATTCTTTCGTGTTGGAAGAGTTCGATCATAACATTGTTGAAACTGACGAGCAACTTCACCTGCATTCTGGTACATAGCATACCATTTTACAATTTCAATTCTTTCAGATGTCGACAAATGAGAACTTTCACTCATGATTAAAAAAATATGAATCATCTAATAAACGAGATAACCATTCGTATTGTTTACTGCAGACGTTACCACTAGTACATATATAAATACTACCAAAGACAAGGTAGTATATGTTACGATAGTGAAAAGTATAACTGTCAAGTATGTTTCCATTTCTTCGGTAATATTATATTTGTATGCTTTTGAACAAATTACTACATTCAGATATTGTTCATGTGCTAGATCTTTCACTTATGTCATCTAGTATCTGTGGTATAAATATGACAACTAGCTGACGCTCTATAAGAAAAAAACCGAAAAAAAACTTTGTTTCCTTACTTTTGGGACACCCTGTATGTTAAACTATAGATCTGAAGTTCCTATATCTAAATCACATTAATATCAAAATTTTATCGAAATGACAGACTGTTTTTATGCATTCTTTGCAATATTTTTCAGAAATGATTGCTTTTATAATGGTTTCATCTTGCACAACATGGGAGAAAAAGACACTCCAGTGTCGTCTCTTTCCACTGATGAGAACTACAGCTCTATAGCTCTTTGCGTTCTTGAGTTCATGCAAAAATGGTCACGACCATTATTTTTTTAAACAGACGATAGTTGAAGAGAACATGTTAAGTCCTATCATATTACGACAGTATAAATACAAATCACGAACATAAAACTTCCTTAACACTTTATATAAAATTTTAAAAATGACCGATTAAAAAGTGCAAACAGGAACTTGCTGAAACGGATAAATCAACTAAATAAATAAATGCACAATGAGCAATATAGTTACAATCTATTACTAGATATGATTTTGCCTAGTGAAAATGATTAAAAAAATCCTTTCTCATCTTCCAGAGGCAAAGATTCTCCATATTATATTTTATACCTACATTTCCTGCTCAAAAACGAAGTCTTTTATTGAAAATTTAGAAAAAACACGACAGGTAGGCGATCTGTTTATTTTAAACAGTCTGCCTGGCCGATGACAAGCTTGAAAATCAGGGCCTGTGCCTGTTTCTGGCAGGCAGATCCGATGACCTGTTTCCACCTCTGATGCCATTATTTATGGCTCGTACGTTCGAAAATTTAGAATTTTAACTCCATAGCAACTTTTCAAACTAAAGTAAAATTTTTCTCGACATGCACGGAGTTAGACCTCATTCATTTCCTTCACTTCCTTTGAAATTTTCAAACGTGACATTTCCATTACTTTGCTCAGTCATTAAGCGGAATTTACCTGTGACGGAGAATCGTTGTACCCGATGATTAAAACAATCAGCAACATAAAGATTATTATGTCGATCTACCGATAAACCCATAGGGCCATTCAATTGATGCGCTCCTTGACCGGAACCATTCCCACCAACGAGCACAGTTCCATTGGACTTTCCGCACCATCGCATCACACGATGATTCTTATAGTCTGCGATATAGACAGTGCCTTTTAAGTCAACAAACAACCCTCGAGGGTGATTCAATTGTCCTACATCCTTTCCTAATCCTTTACCACCAGCCACAACAATTCCCTGTTTAGCACCATTCTCCCATTTTATCACACGATTATTTCCTTTGTCCGAAATGTATACCGTCTGCTCATGATCGACAAATACGTTAGTTGGTACACAAAGTTGGTGTAAAGCTGAGCCCCGTTCATGACCACCCGCCACTACTCTATATTTCGTCTCATAATAGTTTCCTTCCAATTTATAACGTCGTACTTCATCCTTCTTGACGTCCGTGACGTAAAGAAAACCTCGAACGTCCATTGTCAATCCACAACAATCAATATTCTCAATCATCATTACCATTTCCTCGCCCTTCCGTCGAGCCCATCTTACCACGCGTCGATTACCATAGTCACAGATAAGAAGGCTATTTCTCTCTTTATCAATAATAACATCTGATGGATTATTTAACTGATTCATTTTATTTCCCGGTCCGTTTCCACCAGCTAGTACTTGACCCCTCGTTGCCCCAGGTTTCCATTCAACAATCCGATGATTATTAAAATCAGCGACAATGACACTTCCATCCTCATCGACAAAGACACTGGAACACTGGTTGAGCTGGTTGTGGTCATCACCAACGCCATGACCTCCAACTACCGTAACCCCGTTAGTTGCCCATTGGATGTTCTCTCGAATCAGGATTCCATCTTCAAGAAAAGAAAAATAAAGGTATCAGATGAAGAGTCCACTTCCCATTCATTCGATAAAACAGGAAGGCATCAGTACTGATGACTTATTTGCTCGAGAAGTTGCCGATAAACAAAGATAGCATCACTAGCTCTTTGTGTCAATCAATAGGATATTAATAAAACCACGTAATGAAAAAAAAATCCCATTTTACTCAAACTTTAGGAAATCATTTAGGTTGAAAGTAATGTAAGCAATATCTAAATAGAATGAGATATTCGAAGTGTTGGAGTATTTTATGATAGAGTATGGGAGTAGGATGGATTGGAGAACTTCATGGTGGGCACATTTTTCAGAATAAATGTGAAGTAATAATCAAAAAACGCACTCGAAATTGAATTTCGATCAAGATCCATATTATGATCGATCTCAATTCGATTTGGCAAAACTCAGAATCAATTAGAAAAACATTTATCCACAAATCTTAATTCAGATCTGTTTTGCAAAACTGATTTAAATATATGATATATCTGCGGATGGTGTCGTTTTCACATCTTTGGTTTGCAGTCTTTGCTATGAACTATGTCATTCCGTTTAGCTCTAGCTTCCACACTGCGTTTTTGTTATCTCTTCAGTTAATTTCTGCTACTCTGTTCTATAGCTCTGTTCTATGCTCGTGAATGATATGCACATGATGCAAACGCGTTAGAACGTGTGTCGCGACATCTATTGTCCAAAGCGTTTCCAACGGATATGGTAATCTTTCTTTTTCATAAACCATTCTCAAACAATGTAAAAGACGTTTAGTCATCTTCTTACCTCCGTGTACAGCCCAAATGGTTGAGGTGATAGATTGCATCGCAGTATTTCACGTAAATGAATGATACAAATATCATTGGTGGTGTTAAGCTGACCCATTACCTCGAAGTACGTACCTGGGAGTAATAATATTTCCTCTTCATTTTCAAAATAGGAATGGTTTTTAATTTTTTTTCCAGTTAAACATTCAATTGAGAACAAAGTACGTTTGCCCGATGGACTCAAATGTTCCTCAATAGTATTAATCGAAGTAGTACACGAGCTAAATCCCCACCATGGAATTTCCTTCACATTTGCATATTGTGTGCGTAGATCTGCTCGCACAGCTCGCCAAACTGTGCAAGGAGCCGATGGTAATTTTAATAAAGCTGTTAGGATCAGTTTCAAGTACCGAAACCAAGGTTGAAGTTTACTGCGATCCGCAAGGCGAAGTGTCTTGTTCAATTCTGAGTACACATTCGAATGACCAGAAGTTGACTCCATTGTATACAAAAAAATGGCGGCTGATTCATCCCGAGATAGGTTGTCAGTTGGATTATTGCTTCTTTGTATGGCAGTCGATACCATGCTTTTGATTTCATGGACCTGCTGGCGTATATTTGCGATAGACTCTTGCAATGATACAAGAGGTTCTCTGGTATAGCCACTTAAAGGCCTTAAGGCAGCCAGAGGTTCTTTGTCACCATCGAGGAAACGATTTTTGGTATGAGAAGTAGAAGTAGATATTGCGTCCATTTCTGAAAGATAGTCGAAGTGCAAGTTTATTTTGAATGATTAAAGAAAATAATTAATGATTATTTATTTGTGCAAAGGGTGTAGGTACGGGTGGATGTGGGTGTGGGTGTTGGTTTTTTCCTTCTCTTTATTAGACACACACACCCACCAACATCCTTAAAGATATTGACTAAAATAAACTTAAAGATTTTGCAAAAAACCTAAAACATTCATGCGGTTTTCTATGATGAAAACTTGCAAATCTCTGGATGAATCATTTGGCATGATACAAGAGCAAGCAATCAGCTTTTGAAACACATCGATGTCTCAAACTGTAAGTTCGATACCTGAGGTCTGGACCCAGTAGGGCAAGATGTCTCAGTTGAAAGATTTTACAAGAGGCCTAAGAAAACTAATCACCGCACTGCTCTATCACATGTCAACTGTTCTCAATAGCAACAGTCAACGTCACTTTTTCAGTTTCTTGAGACAGATATTTTGATGACCTAATCATCGTGTATAATACTTCATTATCCATTACCTGTTGTATAAAAGCATGTGGCTGAATGAAACTCAATGATGAAAAGCGCAAAGCGTTCTGAAGAAAGTTTTAACTTTCTGTAAGCTTTGAAATCATTCTATAGACCAATAGCAGCAAGAATAGCCACTGATCATGCAAACTTACTAGTTAATCTGCTTCGAGTTCGTCACCTTATTGGATGAGTTTACTATTCACGTGTGTTGAAATGCTGCTCAAAGAAACATAATCATCACTGCTACTATGAAGAGTGAATGAAGTTGAAGCTCACTTTGTCGATAGTAGATTGAAATTGATGAATAATTTGCAAGCAAATTTAACGATGTTCTTCTTTCACTGTATGTTGAAAGCGGCAAATAAAAACAAATACCTTCAATAAAAGAAACAACTTTTTCTGAAAAGGACAAACAATAATAATGTGTTTATTAAAAACATAGAGAATTGAAAGAGCAATATGAAAGAGAAAGTAAACAGTGAATGAGCAATGCCGTCGATGTATGCGCAGCAACTTTCATCCTACCTGATCGAAAGCGAAAGAACGTTACATTTCACTTCACTTTAATTCATTCCAGCAAACAAAGAAAGAGCACAAGGCTGTTGATATGACTACTTGAAAATATATGTCTCTGCACACATTCTCCGAAAGAGTAGATAGGGTGTGGATGTTAGCGGAGAAAATACAACACACACATCTCACATCCATCCCACACCCACACCCTTTTGTATCAAAAATGAAGTTCAAAATTTTGTACTTACATTAGCCTTGTACAGAATTAAATTCTTTACCAAATCGGATCCTCTGTATT